AAATTTATGTACGATAAGACTTATGTAATTTATGTATAATCTTGCAACTCCGTCTTTATCCCTTGCGATCTTGACAAGAATAATGAACTATATCACCATTGGGATATCTCGCAAAAGCGCTAAAGAAACAGAATTGATTAGTATTATAAATGGTTTGTGTCAATTTATGAGATCTAGACCCTTATTCATTGTGCATATTTTATACATGGTAAAAAAAACTACGCAACAATAATATAACGATACAGACATTGTCGTTAAAAATTATAGAACACGGGCCCTAATCTACACACATGTGCGATAAATACCTTAAATTATAAGACACATATACGAACCTTTGGTTACCAAATCGTTTTTTACAAACTGGACATATGTTAAATTCTGTCATGAGGACACTCTGCGATTCGTAATGCATTCGTTGCTCCTGCACTTGTAAATGCTCCGCGTAAAGCAGTCCTTTGAGAACCTGCGTTCTCCGCCTTGCATTCAAGTTATTCTGTAAGCTAACTTCCAGGAAATGTTTTATTCTACCAATAGGAACGGAATCCGGTAGCACCTCTAGGACTTTCATAGGATTTATCTTTGAGGCATGCTCCTCTAACAGTCGAAGAGCCATTTCTAAATCTGGTTGTGCTGTTCTTTGAATTTCCGGATTACAACCTTAAAGAGTAAAAATGGTTATGTATACATAACATTGTATCAAACATGCAAATGATATAAACGTCAATACTTACCAGCCATTAAAACTCCTTCGTTGTCAGGTTTCAATAACTGTTGAATTAGCAAAACATATACTTCGTCAGCATTATCCGTCTGCTTTGGTTTCTCCAATGTACGATCTTGATCTTAAAATAATGTGCAAATAATTAGATATTATCTTTATTCAATTGATCTATTAATTATTTAAAAATCCACTTACTTTGATATCTTATATATACATTTTGGCAATATTGTATTGCGCGTGGTATATCATTTAAAAGACTAACGTATATCGATATGGCTTGCTGATGACGACCGAGTCGTCCAAGTATGATTGCACGTTCTTCGAACAAACTGTCAAATGGAAAATGCACTAATATCGTTTCCGGTGTATAATGCGTCGATTTCTCTAGAAATTGTTGTAATTTCTGTCGAATGTGTTGCGAAATTTCTTTCTCCGCTGGCGTTGCATTAGCATTCATGGAAGCTAGACACTTTTCTTTGTATTGATGTATCAAAACATTATGGAATAATGGATTGGTGTCTTCCCAAACATGTACTACATGTTCCAAGTATTGTATCACTAAGTCTTTGTGAAAACGCAGAAGGTAATCCAATATCTTTGGTCTAGGTAAATGTTCAACTTCCTGTAAAAAATGCAGCAAAAAATGCATAAATAAGGAAAATATTAAATGTGAAATTTAATTTCAAACAAGGAAATACCTGTATATCTTCCATAAATATCCTAAGACCTTGCTCAGGATCTTCGGTTAAAACCCATCCGGCAAACTTTAGTATTAAATCCATATGATCCTTGCCGAGATGTTGCAAATACTGTATAGTTCTCTCAGTGCCTTTCAGACTAGAATCGTTTTCCTTTGCGTGTTTCTCCAGTAGCTCCAATGCCTTCTTGTGTTGCCCTTTGGTTTGATACAATATAATGAGCTCCGGATATTTCTGATGCATCAATAAAGTTTTCTCGGCTTCTGCCAAATGACAGTGATTCAGTCTAAGTAAAGGAGCTACCAAGGCATCAGTGGTCTAAAACAAATTCCGTTCAATGTTTATTCCATGTAAACAGCAAGAAACTTCTTCCATGTATAGATTTTTATTATCCTCCTTCTCTTTTACCTGTAAATAACATTTTAAAAGAGTCGTATCTATAATCTTTAGAAGCTGCTCCGTAGCTACAGCGGTTAAATTCTTTTCTCCATTTACTCCATTTTTCTCCTTACTAAGTTCTTTATCCTTCGCCATTAGCTTATGCCTAACTTCTGTTAGAAAAACTATCAATGCACGTAAGCCCTTTTCTAAATCATGATCTTGTAACTTCGGCAAACTAGATGTTGGTTCGCTCAGTTCATGAGTATTGGTCGAGGGCGAAACTAAATCTGGAAACAATCTGATCACTTCATATGGATCAGTTCCCAATTTCAAAAACAGATCCATTGCCTCTTGGAACCGCTTATTGTAGAACAGATGATGCGCATACAATGTTTGTATTTTATATGTCTGTTTGGCTTTCTCTTCATTTGTTATGTCTGATAAATTCTAAAATACATATGAATAATGTTGCTATAAAAAATGAATTATAATCTACATTAACATTAGGTATAATTAACGTACAGTTAATTTTAATGCCAGCTGAAACTGATTTTGCTCCAGCAAAGTCCTAATCTGTAAGGTAACATCAATTGCATTGACACACCAAATTTGACTAATAGATGCCACAAAGACTCTCCCTTGCCTGCATCGATATATAAGTCTAGCTTTATTTAGATCCTTTATTGTCTGGATATGTAAACATCCTTCTAATGTATACACTTCCAATCTGTCGTGCACGATACCAAGTAAGTAAGGATCATCCCATGCTAAAATATGTTATAGAAAAATTTGGATTAATTATAATTAAAGAGAGAAATAATAATAATAGTCTGTTCTCTATACCTATTGCATTAGGTGTATCTGACCATTTTACTGGATTGTGCTGAACCAACTCTCCTTTTGTATCCATAATAAATGATTGAGAATCTTTGCCCAGCACAAAAGAACTATCTGATAATTTCGTAATACTTGGTTCTGGAGATTTACCAGTGGGAAAGAGTTCCTTAGGTTTATCGTTTAGGTCAAAAATCGTATATGACAATCCACGAAATCCTAATATTAATGTTTCGCCGCACCTTAATAATTAATACAAATTGATCAAAATAGGAGCATATGTCATAGCACTTTAATAATCAATACAATAAGTAAATAATAGACTTTAATAATAATTGTTCAGTGTATATTACCATGACAATTGACGAGGTATATCTGGTACTGTTAACTCAAAATCTTTAAATTCTTCAAACTTCTTTCCCTTCCAATAATACAACTGTAATTTACGTTTGACAGCAACACATAAACGCACCACGATGTTCTTTTCTCCTGTTAGGCTTTCAGTCGACTGAATCTCCAGAGTAAACAAAGTGGCACCACGAGTCTTTGGTAATTGACATATTTGTTGAAAGTTTGGTGAATTTAAATCATGAATACATACAATGTTATCTGTAATTTTCCTCAATTAGACTCAGACCAAAAAATTATTAACTCGTGACATCAAGTATACCTGTCAGGATAATCAATAAATTATATTCTGGTACAACATCTATCTGATTGATACGTTTTCTATTAAAATTCTTGCTATGACGTAACAATTCTAGTTTGTGACTGTCATCAAACACCAATGGAACATTATACATAAGAAGATGACCTTCCCTGGTGCCTATTAGTAAGTTGTCATCTAAAACAATTAAAAATTCAATAAATGCTTGGTTTATCCACAGAAATTCTCCTGATATAATTCCATCATATACAATCTACCAAGGTTTATCTCTTACCATAAGCAGCCATAGACTCAATTTGCACAGTGATATTTAATATAGACGTTTCTTCGTAAGCGTCATGCATCGTTGCGGTTTTAAAAAAGAATATCACGCTTTATCAAACGAATTTTTCATGAATTTTTTAAACTGCTGATGATACTCCAGTTGTCAATCGACAACACATCCAAGTGCGTTCACTGCATTCTACTGCATTCTTCCACATTCTCCTAAACGATTTTTGACTGGCGTCTGGCGTTTGACAACTATCGAATAACAATCGCAGAATCGTAGTTGAGAACAGACCTTTAATAATATTGAGTAAAGTCACTAGATTTATGAATCTAGTGACTTTAGTACATACAATTTCTGATTGGTTGAAATCACGAGACCTTCGCTATGGCATTTTTTTCTATATCACGTGATTTAAAAAATCGTTTAAAGATTTTATATATAAAGTATGCACAGACAGATGTGATGGAAATTGCGAGATGAGAAGTAGAAACTAATATTGCAGAAAATGACGAATCATGTTGCTGTGGTATGTAACTGCACAAAAATGACGAGATGTAATAGTAAAGAATCTTTGTACTTCTAGCGTTGATTACCTCTTTTCGAGAAGATTGACATATTTTCTCTTTATAGCTGCATTTTATTTTACTTTTTGCAATTATTAAAGTAAAATAGAGGTACATAATTCCATAAAAAGATCTAATTAAATGAGACGAAAAAGATGTTCATTTTTCAATCATAATTGTGCTTTACAGAGACTTTTGATTAGATAGAGTCTCATAAACTGTAAACGATACGTTCCTTTATTTTTCGCCAGTATTAATAAAAACCTATAGTATTACCCCCACCCCCAAATTCTCGAAAGTGCTTTGACATGCGTATATCTCTTTATATAGATTCGCGATTAAATAACTCTCCCAGGCGTCTAAGGTAGGCTTCCACTACAATGCCTTACTGATGAGTCCAGTAGTGGAAGCTGGGACGAAACGCCATATTTAAGTAATATTCTTCGCAATACATTAAATTAATTTAATAGAATTTTAAAGTAGTTTATTGGCTCATTGCCCTCTTTCTCTATATATTATTTGTTTCAAATAAATTATGTTATACATTCAGTTTTGTTCACACGGACTCACGTATATGATTGATGTATATATTGCGTATTTTTGAATAACATATACAATGGAAAAAGTAAATCATTTATGCAACAAAGTTTAATATTTTGAGCCATATAACTTTAATTTCAACACATAATTTTGTCAAATAAGTTTTTTTATATATGTACATACTGAGTTATGCAAGTCTGTTTGAATAAAACTTAAATGTATAATCGACGTATTCACGAAGAAAAACAAAATTTATATTAACATTATATATTAATATATTTGCAGATCTATAGATATTAAATAAAGCAAACACAATTTTTTGAGATACATATAATGCGTGGTTTCTTTAATTTTTATAATATATAATAATTACCACACACATATACGAGTGTGTGTTGTGATTGATGCCCTTACCAATTGATGCTATAACTGGCAGGACTATGAACTTTATCGTCACTAATTCGGGAGCGCTATTTTTTATAGTTAAATATTAAAGACGAGAGATAAGAGCCCGAAGTTCTGCAAGGATGTTTTCTACTTGCGTCAAAACGTTACGAGCTGCTAGCAAAGTGAGCATATGTTCTTCTCGAATTCCTCTCGATTTTCGTCTTTCATTTGTTGATTCTATTTGTATGATTCGTATATACTTTTGTCAAGGTTTAGTTTTGGTCAAGGTCAAACCGGCTAGTGTCGCTCCTGGGTATGGTTATACTGTGGTATATCGGTATGTGTCCAATTAATTCGGCTAAATCGAAAATGTGCTGTGATGCACTAATATCATACGAAGTCATTACTTGGTCACTCAGTTTCTCAATTTCTATAAAAAAAGATTGAGATTTTGGTGAAATAATATTTTCATTTTTTATGGAACATTATGGCACAATGTTGTGCGACAAAAATTTTTCTGTTACCTTTTTCAATCTCGTTTATAGCCTCTTTTCTGGGAAACACAGGTTTACAGTTTCGTAGAATCGGCATCATCCTACCGAAAGCAGTTTTGCCAAGGGTTCTGTGAATTATTAAACTAGAAATCCAGCGATGTACTGCCAGTCTAAACCTTAATTGACCGAAATTCAAGTTCTCTAGAAGATCAAACCCTTGAGGGTTTGGAGAACTTTTAATTGGAGAATTGTTGTAAGTCATCTCATCTACATTACGTGGTACACGATAATTCTTCTGATCTATATAAAAAATCAAGATTAAAATTCATCAAGATAATATTTTTATTTCGGTGCAATATCGCATTTTTTACGGCAAAAAATCATTCTTTTACCTGTCGGTCTATTGTCATGATTTTTCATAGGCAATGGAGACTGCAGACCTTTCCATAGAGACTGAAGATTTCTCTCGAAAGGTTTTATGTAGTCATTCTGAAGGTGTATTTTAAGGACCCATCGATAAGTAAACAATTGGAACTTGTATAATTTATTATTCAGACTTGACGATACTGCAGTATCTTCAGGGTTCTGTAATGTCTTATTTCCTTCTAATACGATTGATTCAATAAGGCTTATTAATACTCTGCTCAATTCCAAATTATCTGTATGAAAAATCAACATTCTATAATGAAGTAATATTTTTACTTGGCGTGATATTTCTTTATAGCAAAAAATCTTTCTCTTATTCTGCTATTTCCTTCGAATCATTAGGAGGTAATAATGTTTGTGATTTTTCAGTCATAAAGTCTTTAATATCTCTGATCAGATCTATTAACTGATTAGAAAAATTTACATAACCTGCATAAAAAAAATTGAGATTATATTATGAAACATTTTCACTTTGACACAATTGCCCATACAACAAAAATTTTTCTCTCACCTTCACGAGACATCATTTCACTATTATTCATTATACGGAAACAACTGTAAACGCTGGGCCGAGAAAAAATGTTGGACGCTCGACGCGATGCCGGGACAACCAATACCGTGGCTCCGCGACAAGGCGGTGGCTTTGTGTTACCAACTATACGAGGTCCTCGGTTCGGGTCCCGGCATCTCGACCTACGTAAAAGATTAAGATATAAATAATTATATCAGGCATCAAAATCGCACAATTGGTTCTTAAACGTGATCGATATACGTATCGATAAAATTAGAAATGACACGATGGGCATGTATAATTATACATTTTATAAAAAAAATTATTTTTATTATAACGCCATATCGCGCCTCTCTATAACAAAAAGTCATTCTCTTTTACCTTTCCGTTTATTGTCGCTTTCAATAGGCACTGAATATTGATCTTTCACTTGAGACAAATTATCATTTTTTATCACGGATCTATTTTCTTTATTTTTCCTTTTTTTCTTTCTAGTAACTCAGAATAAACTGTTAATTCAGGCAGCTTAATATTTTGATTATAAAAAGAAAATAATTATAAAGTAATTTTTAATATTATATATTAGGCTTATTCTGTATAATTTTCCTAATTTTTTAACTTATGAAAAATATGTTATTTTTAAGTAACAAAAATAACACAAATAAAAATACTATGAATTACTATTGATTCATGAAATGTGATAATTAAATCACTTGAAAAAAACTGACCTGGCACAGAACGTGTTTGTTTTAATAGAAGTACAATAATGCAAGGCATAGATTTAAAAATCTTAATAAATAATAATACTGTTGTTCAGGTAACTGGTGGAAACAAGGGTATTGGCTTTGCCACTGTTAAAGCTCTCTGCCAACAATACAATGGAAACGTTTACTTGACAGCTCGCGATACCACTCGTGGTTTGAATGCTGTCAGTGAATTGAAAAAGCAAGGTTTAAATCCGAAATTTCACCAACTGGACGTCAATGATGACAACAGTGTTAATACATTTCGAGATTATTTGCAAAATACGTATGGTGGCCTTGATGTATTGGTTAACAATGCTGCTATAATGTTTCAAGTAAAGAAATATTACTATAGTAATTAGTTAATAATTAAAGATATTATTGATACAATAAATACAATATATAATGACACTCACACATATATTTTTAATTATTTTTTTTCAAAATGCGATTATTTTTATTAAAGAATAACTTTTTAAATAGAGAAAAAATATGATATATTGCTTCCCTATTCATACTTTGATATAAACTGAATGATGAATGATTTTGTAAAAATATCGAGTACATATATTGAAATTTACTTATTACAGAATGATGCTGCGGAGCCTTTTGGGTTCCAAGCAGAAGAAACGATACGAATAAACTACTTCAGTTTACGTAGAGTGTGTACCGCTCTCTATCCAGTGCTTCGACCGCACGCCCGGGTAGTTCATGTTTCGAGCGGTCTTGGATGTCTATCACAAATTACTGGTGGCACATTGAAAAAGAAATTAGCTAATCCAAATTTAACTGAAACAGAATTGGACAAAATCATGCATGAATTTGTCAAGTAAGACTTGGTATTTTTTAAAAAATAATATTGCATTGATCATGTTAATTTGGAAAGATTTTTTTGAGATTTATATTCTTATATGTTGATTTGTTTCTAGTGCTGCAAAATCTGGTACGCATTTACAAGTCGGTTGGTCAAATTCAGCCTATGTGGCGAGTAAAATCGGTGTTAGCGCTTTAGCTGGTATTCACCAATCTATGTTTAATGTGGATCCCCGAGAAGACATTGTGGTGAATGCAGTACACCCTGGTTACGTAGATACTGACATGACTTTACATAAGGGAATCTTGACACCAGATCAAGGGGCTATAGGTCCTGTTTATTGTGCATTGTTGCCAAAGAATACAGAGATAAAAGGAAAATTTATCTGGTACGATAAGACATTAGCAGATTGGAAATAAGCATATAACGTAATTATATTACTCATTCCCATAATGCATAACATGTACAAATATACATATAAATGAACAAATACATGAATGTTAAATAAATTATTTCTATAACATAAATTTAATAGAAAATAAAGCTAGGAAACACATAAAAAATCATAAATAAGATTTAAATAGTAAGCAACAAAATCGGCTAATTACAATAAAAAAAAAGTAGTTAGCTGATTTAAGCGGGGGCACAGACTTCTTGCGTAATACATAAGGCATAAGAAATACAATCAATTAGAATTCTTTATTTCATGGAAAGGAACGAAATGAAGAGCTTTAATTGGTAAATTTTCTTATGCTTTAGGTACATGTAATGCATTATGCAAGAGTCTGTGCTCCCTGTCTTACTCACTGCTTTATATCTTACTGCTATGTTTCTTGTGTTTCTGTCTTAAGGATAATAAAGTATTCACAAAAAATATAAAGACTATTTTGTTACAAATATCTATATTAAAACAATTGAATAAAAATATACTGAAGAATGTTATATTATTACATATATTTAAAAAAAATTATGAATAATGCAAAACAATTCCACATATTATTTTTATACTAAATACGAAATATATATATGTATAGTAATCAAAGAGAAGAAATTGATTCTTAAAGTAAGCAATACATTTAATGAAATTGTAAACTATCTTGCTTGAGCATTCATTGCTTCTCTCCGTGCTGCTTCAGTTAAGAGATGGATGTCTACCTCATCTACTGGAAGTTGTACGTATCGCACCACAGATCCACGGATAAAGCAATTTTTTACAGACAACTGCAATTTAATATACAATTTGTTAATTATATTTAATTATACATTAATTTTAATAATTATATTACATCTGTCATTAATGATTCAATTTATCTCTCCTTATATGAAAAAAGTGGTTTGAGTTAAATCAACAAACTATAATATTTATAGCTTATGAAATGTTCAATGAAAAAGATGTTTATTTTTTTATCATAATTGTGCTTTATAGAGGCTTTTAATTAGATAGTCTCAAACTGTAAAAAAAAATACGTTCCTTTATTTATCGCCAGTATTAAAAATCTATAGTATAGATATACACACACACATACATAATGTGAAATATAGATTTTAAATGCTCACAGTGAATAACCAAAAAAATTCAGTTTCAGCCAATTTAATTAACGTTACTTTTTCTAAACAATTAATGCAAAATCTTTTGTATAATAATGTTAATAGCAATTAACATACCATGTGAGGATACTTCTCCGAATCTGTTACGCTAATATCAGCCAATTTTATGTTTAGATACTGATCGACAGAATATAATGTGCCACAGATACTAAAACAAAATATCACATTGTATTATTATAATGTCAATGTTATTCAAAACATAATCATGTGACATCTTACCTGAGGTCATTCTTCAATTCGACCACTACATCCTTTCCGATTAAGGATTTGAAGAAGGAATAAAACAGCTAAAATTAAAAACACGTCTATAGTTGAACCTAATATAAATCCAGGTGTTATTCGGATCCATGGAATGCCGGATTTTAAACGTCTCGTGAAAACCTTTACGTTACTTACCATGATAATTTGCGAGAGATTACTATGATCGTATATTTAGTATTTTATACGCCAATTTACAAGTACTTATGACAAATGCGTTTTGCAGACAAATCTCGGCGGTAAAATTATAACCTATGTCTACATGCAGATGTAGCATCAGAATGTGCAATGCATAGAACATATATAGAATGGAAACTCTTGGACAAGTCGCATAAATATTTAATCCTGTAGTTGCATGTAGTTGTTACGACATGTACCTTCTGCACTTTAAAAAATATTGAAAAAAAGGAAAGAAAATAAAAGATACAAAAAATTTAGCTATAGATAATGAATTTACTCGAATTAAATAAATTATGTTATACATTCAGTTTTGTTCACACGGACTCACATATATGATTAATGTATATATTGCGTATACAATAGAAAAAGTAAATCATTTATTCAACAAAAGGCCTGTTCTTTTTGCCTGCACTGTCTGAACTGGTACATACAGTGTAATAAGTTGAAATGAAACAAACGTATATCTGTTTCACTTCAACTTATTGCACTCTGTGCACCAGTCCAGTAAAAAGTACAGGCCTAAAGCTTAGCAATTCTAAGCAATATAACTTTAATTTCAACACATAATTTTGTCAAATAGGTTTTTCTATACACATACTGAGTTATGCAAGTTCTGTTTGCATAAAGCTTAAATGTATACGCGTATTCACGAAGAAAATTAAAATTTATATTAACATTATATATTAATAAATTTGTAAATCTGTAGATATTAAATAAGGTAAACGCAATCTTTTGAGATACATATAATGTGTGGTTTCTTTAATTTTTAATATATAATAATTACCACGTACGACTAGTGTGTGTTGTGATTGATGCCCTTACCAATTGATGCTATAACTGGCAGGACTTTGGACTTTATCGTCACTGATTCGGGAGCGCTATTTTTTATAGTTAAATATTAAAGACGAGAGATAAGAACCCGAAGTTCTGCAAGAATGTTTTCTACTTGCGTCAAAACGTTACGAGCTGCTAGCAAAGTGAGCATATGTTCTTCTCGAATTCCTCTCGATTTTCGTCTTTCATTTGTTGATTCTATTTGTATGATTCGTATATAATCGCGTTACGTTCCATCGACTTTGACTTTAAATTTCGTTACCATAAACATTTCCTATTTTTGTGAAAAGCACCAGAGAGAAACAAGTCATTGTTTATAATTGTTAATTACACCAAATAATTGTATTTTATGATAAATATAGTCACTCGTCGCAGTTCATTGAATTTTTAGTACACACATTGAAGGTTGTTTTATATAAAGTATCTAAATACGTTATGACATAATATGCTCAACTTTGACAAATAATATGTGCATATTCTGTTAAATTATGTGACAATTATTATTGGTATTTAATCATTTAAAATATACGTTTTTTCTTTTATTTTGTTAATTTTGTATTTACAGTACACACTAATCTAGTGCAATTCATATGTCCGAATTTGCTATCAAACATAGATTTGTAGTTGTATTCTAATTGTCTTTGAAATTTCATTGAAATGTCTCACAAAAAAATTTTACTTATTTTCAGTTTGCCTCATTAGCGCGTTATGAATCTACTTTGGTCATTGCGGAGCATAACAATGAAAATATATTGCCACTCACCTGCAATACATTGACAGCTGCCAAGAAGATTGGTGGCGATATCACTATACTAGTGGCTGGCACGAAATGTGAAGCAGTTGTGCAAAATGCATGCAAAGCCAAAGGCGTGTCTAAAGTCTTTCTCGCAGACAGCGATGCATTTAAGGGATTCACTGCAGAATCATTGACGCCGCTTATACTTAAGCTGTGCAACGAACACAAATTCACGCATATACTAGCCGGTGCAAGTGCATTTGGCAAGGCATTGCTTCCCCGAGTTAGTTTACAATTTATTCCTCTAAGAAATTATATCAACATTGTCAATTTTATGTTAATTTATATAAATCTGTTTAATTAAAGGTTGCAGCCAAGTTAGATGTATCACCAATAAGTGATATTATTGACATAAAAGCTTCAGATACCTTTGTACGTACTATATATGCTGGTAATGCCATTCAGACTCTTAAGTCTAAGGATAATGTGAAGGTAGTTTCCGTAAGAAGTACCTCTTTCGAGTTGTTACCTTTAGAAGGTGGAGATGCTAAGTGTGAAAATATCCCTACTGGTGATACTTTAAATCAAGTGGAATACATCAAACAAGAACTTAGCAAATCCGACAGACCAGAATTGACATCTGCCAAAGTTGTGATTTCTGGTGGACGTGGATTGAAGTCCGGAGAAAACTTCCAATTGCTGTATACATTGGCAGACAAGCTCAATGCAGCAGTTGGAGCATCCCGTGCCGCGGTCGATGCTGGTTTTGTGCCAAATGATATGCAAATAGGGCAAACTGGGAAAATTGTTGCACCTGTAAGTAAAAAACTAATTGCCAACATTGGAATAACTTTTATTTCGATCTTGTCTTGAACACCAATAACTTGTGATTGTAATTTCAGAATCTGTACATAGCAGTTGGAATTTCAGGAGCAATTCAGCATCTTGCCGGAATGAAGGATTCCAAGACAATTGTAGCTATTAATAAGGACCCAGAAGCTCCCATTTTTCAAGTAGCAGATTATGGATTAGTCGCAGATTTATTTAAAGCTGTTCCTGAATTAACGGAGAAGTTGTAAATTACAAACAAAGCTCATATAATATAAACATTTATATTTCAAATAATTATTTTTGTACATTTTATTATATTGTATTATAATGAGAATAAAATTTTTATGATAGTTTTAATAAAAATCAATTTATCATTTTAAAAAAGTGTTATGTTTACATAATGTCAATAATATATCAAATTAATTTTTGCACATATTGAGTTTAAACTGATTCCAACCAAACTCCAGTTAACTAATAAATGATTTTTATTCAACTGATGGAATCACTTAAAATTTAATTATACAATTCATTGTTCCTGATCTAATCTTCCCTATGTTAAACAGTGAAAAATTAATAATTTTATTTATGTTAAGAAAACAATATATAATTTGATAAATTAATTGCCAATGTTTAATTAAAAATTTAACTACAAATTTGATCAAAGTTATACTAAGATTTGTTTGTATAGTAAAATTTTTTGTACTTCGTTTTATCATTTTTTCATTCTCTCTCTATTTTATCACATATAATTTCTGTGCTTTAAAATAAAATATGCATTAAACTAAGAAATTTAATTAAAAAAAATTCTTATCTATAAATTTAATATAATTATATAATTATTAAATTTTTATCTACTAATGTTATATGAAAATTAAATTCTTTAGTTCTATTTTAATGCCTATTTCATTTTTTAAATACAGAAAATATATAACGCATAACAAAAGCGTTGCTTCCCATCTTTAGGTCCATTTAAATAAAATCGTCGACTCGTCGATTGTGTCGAGGTTAATGTTAAACGATGTGGAGAATGGTTACAAGTTTCTTATGTGCGTATTAAAACGTATTATTACAAAGTAAAGCGTAATTAAATACGAAATTAATATACACTAAATACGTTTGCAAATTAAAAATTTCTTGCAAGAATATTTGTCCACAGTAAGTACGTATCTATTGTTCTTAACACGTTGACTGCCACGGCAATTTTCAGAAATCTGGCCTAAAATGACAATTTGATTTAATCACATTATATTAGTACGAGATAACTCGTAGTTGGCGTCCTAGAAAAGAACGCAATCTACGAGTTATCTCGTAGTTGGTAGTCAACGTGTTAATAAACATTATTATAGGTTATGTTATACACATCTCTGTAGAAATTCGTTGTCTCGTTTCATAAAACTCAAATTATTTATTATTATTAGATATAATTTTTATTTATTAAAAAAGTTTCAATTAAAATTTGTTATATTTTCAAAGTATATTAAGCAAAATACACTATAATATTTTTATCATTCAATTATAATTTGTTTTTTTTATAGAAATTAATATATTGCAAATTTTCATATTTACAGAATATGCAGAGTATTCGCCAATGTGTTAAACAATTAGCATCATATAGCAAATCTGCTATAAACAGGACAAGTTTATTATTAAGTACAACAAATTTTACACAAATACCAACATGCAGTGTACATGTTTCTTCAATCTTATGTAAAAATAATTTTGGAAATTATAAAGAAGGTTGTACGAAGTTTTTAGACTATAATAATACTGTGTTTCCACCTCAACAACCAGGTGAAGAAAGAAGACCTGCTGTAAGTTACATTGTGTATGTATATTAAATATTAGTTATTGAGTTATTGATCATTTCTCTTGCACATTGTTTTTTAGTATGTATGTCATATGAAAGCAAATATAAAATACAGTCCGAAAAAAATGTGGTACATCGCGGGCTTTGTACGAGGAATGTCCGTGGACGAAGCTGTAAAACAATTGAGTTTTATGTATAAGAAAGGTGCTGAGATTGCAAAGGAAGTTATATTGGAAGCTCAGCGTTTGGCTGTAGAGGAACACAACGTTGAATTTAAAAGTAATTTGTGGGTCGGTGAGTATATAAATCAATACCTGATACTTGTGTTTTAAGTATTCTCATATATTATATTTCCTAAGTCTTTTAAGCAATTCGATTAATATCAAGGAAATATTTCTTATGCAGCGGAATCATTTGCTACCAAAGGTATAGTAATAAAGGGTTTACGGCGACACGCTAGAAAACGCGTGGGAACTATACACTATCGATATTGCCATTATTTTGTACGCTTGGAAGAAGGACCACCACCTAAGCACTATTATCTGCCATATCCTAAAACTGGCGAGGACTTGTTGAATGATTGGATGAAAAATCTGCATAATCGCAAAATACCGAATTCTTTATAATATGATTGTAATACTGTAAATATATAAATATAAGAACCATTTACCAATCACATATATCAAAGGTACATAAACAGATCTTTCTTCATTTAATTTAAATTTAATTATTAAAATGAAAATAAAATTTTATTATTGTCAAGAAAAGGTTTCATACTTAATCAAATCAGTTTTGCCACACAATGCTAAATACTTAATGCATTGATGAATACTGTATATAATTTGTAAATGTACAAATTTGCTATATATGTTATCACTTCTATATAACTTCAAATTATAATTAAATGACGATAAAATTATTAACTTAATATAACGAAAATATTACAATTTCAAAAGATTATTTGATAATTACGATTCCTATCTAGTGACAATAAATAACTCAATTTGTGTAAAACTTTTTTTAGAAAAGAAAATGTATAATTTTACAATATGTTAATGTTTTATTTTAAATCATACATTGATAAGACAATAATGTGAAGTTGTGTATTAATATTGTATAGCCATACACAGAAGGAAATGACAGATTTTATTCTTTATGCAGAAGATATCTTTATTTATCATCTGCAAATATGCGTTATTTACAACTTCAGTTTAGTTCTTCTCCAGTGGCGCCTCTTTGCATTATACCTAAAAACAAATACATAAAAAATTATAGCTTTAATACATAGATCTTTAGTATTTAGATAATAGTTACTGTAACAATAGCTATGTTCAGCAGAAAAAACAACTTTGCAGCTATTGTAGAATCTTTTAGTTCTTATCTATTAAATCTAAATGCATAAATTAATCATTGAATAAGATTAAGATCTGATAGCAATATAGTAAAATCTGGTTTATGCGGGCTGATTGTTAATTTATGTCAGAATCGATGTTCAATATTAAGATTGCAATGCTTTCGTTTGTAATGTAATCAGCAAGTCATTACAAATAAAAGTATTGAAATTTTAATATTAAATTTTATTCCAACATAAATTAATGATTACAGCTTATATATACCATAGTTCTATTATCAGCTGAATTTCATGTAGTTCATCTTTTCTATTTTTCTCTCCGATATGAAAACAGAACAGACCTCAAACTTATGAGAAATCAGATATAATGAAAGAGATAAGGAATACAAGTTTTAACCTATTAAAAATCGAATATATCAGAAAACATGATTAAAATGCCAAAAATCATATATTTTGGTGTATCCTGGTAGATAATTTGTTATTGTCTGTTCTCTATTTTGTTATGATTAAACTCTAATATAGCTGAAGTATCACAATGTGTTTTGTAATATTAAAATATTTTAGGGTTGCATTCTAAGGAAACTTGCTATTTGTCATATCCTTGTTTCACATTTAATGGACAATGAAGATAATGATATAAATAGCACTAATAACACCTCCCCAAATACAGGCTTCACAGATACGTGCCAAAAGTAATGATTAAGACTATGAAATATTTTTATTTTTAATATTACAAAATAATCTCATGTATTATACACATATCCATTTGGTAAAAAAAATTACAATAGTGATAATTTAAATTCTTAAAACAACCTATATAACAATAATTAATAACCTACATAAAGTTTACAAGACCTTTAAACCAAAAAAATCTGAGATTTTTATGAATTCTTATTCAGATTGCCGTTTTTTAATTTTTTCTTTCGCAATTCAAAATTATAATTCTAATTTTGTTTTAATACAGATACTATAGCAAATACAGATACTATAGTTGTGCAATTGTATGCAAGGAGAAGACAACGTTTATGATCAATGCATGAAATTGAAGCAATGTATCCATGTGCATCTTAAATAAATATCCAGTAAACATTTTTTTTTCTCGTAAAAATTTGAAACATGTTCACTTATCAGATTTGAACTTACCGGATAGTATTACCGGTCCGCATTCTCACCCATTGGGGAATCGGTCTATTTTGCTTCAACTTTTTCGCAAGCTTTCGCTTGATAATAAATGTCTTGTGAGCCGACTGAAACAGATACGAGACAAATTCAGAGTCTACAGATATAATTTTTAAATGTTTTTTATTGCAAGGAGATGGGATTGCAAGAAAATAAATAGATATCAAGAATATACGTAAAACTCACCATCGTGCTTATTGATCTTGTTGAGAATGAAGGAATGAAATGAACGTGGCGTACACGCGGTTAAAATATTTTCTAGAAGGGCGTTCGATATGGATTCTCTTCTAAATGGATGCACCAATCACAGTCGAGAGTTATTCGAGTACATCCGAGCGCAGAAGGTGCAGATAAAACGAACAGACCCGTGGCTATCGAAGATACCTCGCTCGATAGCCAATCCGCGTTCAACAAGTACTGACAAGAGTGACAAGTACGACAATTACGTTTCTGATTCGGATGAGTTCCAAAAGTCGACTGCTTGCGGAACATCTGAATTTCTAGAAATTAATCATTCTACGAATCGCTTCAAGATTCTTTCTCGACGTACGTATAGCTGTCTCGTTCACGTTATAAGGGATTGTATAGCAATATGGATTAATGGCGACTGTCCTCATCCCGTATCTCATCTCGTCTGCATTAACCACTCAGCTCAGTTGTGACGATGCTCATGACGTAATGAAATTATGATGATGGAGTGTCAAGTCTGAAGGTTCACGCCTTGCGATTTATTTTATTATTCTGCTCTGTCACCGTGACCACAAGCGAGCACGCTTGAATTCTGGTGACTCAGGACACCTCGGTGCTGCGACAGCAAAGATGGATAGTAACAAGGACGAAGCAGAGCGATGTATGGAGCTCGCGGAGCGATTTATGAAGGAAAGGAAGTATGAGGAGACCGAAAAGTTTGCCCGCAAAGCTCAGAAGCTCTATCCGACGAAAAAGGCCGAGGGTGAGCTTGTGATGCAGTCCATTCAACGCACTGTCAACGCGACAATCTCGGTTTTCCACATACTTAGCATGTAAAAGTGCCACGGATTTTTGAGTTTGTTAATGTTGATTTGTCCTAAGAGAGAAAGTTTCTTGTATATATTAATATATTTTATTTTGTCTATTATTTTTTTTATTACTTATTTTTTGATATGATTAATCTTATACTTACGGTTGGATTTAGTAAAGTAAAAACATAATTTTTATTTTATATATTATATATATAATTTATACAAATATATATAATATGTACAATAATATTTATTATTATATATATATAATTTTGTTATATATATATAATATATTATATATATATAATAAAATTATTTTTTTATCCTATATCTGACCTTTCTTTAGTTTTTCATTGTTTAGAGTTTAGAATATAATGAGCTAAATCTGTTCATAAATTTATTGATTTTATATTATCCATATATATTCAGGCAAAATAAAACTTGTATTTTATCCGAGAGTGCACATGTTTTTTCTGTTTATCAGAATAATATTGGTTACATGAATTGAGTAATTATATTTATAGATCTACTGGCAGAAGTGACGGTACTTGCAAAGCAGAACCAAAAATCTGAATCGACTGAACCTAACGTTAGAAAGCGGCAAAATGTAGCTAAAGATAGTACATATTCCCAGAATAATTCTGAGTATTCCAAAGAACAATTAGATCATGTAAAAAGGTAGATATTTTAAGTTCGTTAATTTAGTGAACTATTTAATACACCAGATCTCTTTTCAGTATATTAAAATGTAGAAAACTATAAGTCCAATAGAGGAATAGGAGACAAATACTAGTTGTTCTGATATTTTCCTACTTATGGTAGTAAAATAACATTAGTCAATCAGTGAATTTCTGAATAAGAAAACAATACCTTCTTTGTATTAAAATGTCATTGTCTAGGAATTGGAATATTCCCTCGATAGCTTGCTGCAGTATATTATAGAGATCACTGTTTTAATTACTCAAAAATAATACAGTATATTATAATATTTGTGAAGTATATTTTTTATTTGCTATAACAATGATACATTAAAAAAAAGTTTTCTTAAAAAATGAATTTGCAAGAACTAAATTATTAAAATTTTTTAATATAAATCTTTTAGTGTAATTATGCTGTAATAATAATTGTAAATGGATAAAAATGTGTTCTTTTAAATTACATTTTTTTAATATTATAATTATTTTTTTGTAATCAAGTAAAAAATTTTAATTTAGTTATGCTATATAGTAAATGAGCAATATTTATTTCTTCACATTCGATTTATAGCTTACTTATTTAATTATTATGTGTTATTATCTGTTAATTATTTTAATTATTTTGTACAAATTATTTATGTGAATTTTTTAATTTTGTAGGATAAAAAAATGCAAGGATTATTATGAGATTTTAGGAGTTAACAAAGATGCTACAGATAGTGACATCAAGAAAGCTTACAAGAAATTAGCGCTTCAATTACATCCTGATAAAAATAAAGCACCAGGTGCTGCCGAAGCTTTTAAAGGTACGTCAAATTTTTATATATTTTAAAAATTGAGAAATTAGAGTTGCGAATATATTTACATATAAAAAATTGATCTTTTTACAGCTATTGGCAATGCTGTTGCTATTCTTACCGATACAGAAAAACGGAAACAATACGACACATACGGTCCCGAGGAAGAACGAATGCAGAGTACACACAGTCGCCAAGGCCATACACATTACAATTATACTCGTGGATTTGAAGGTAAAAGAATATTAAGAGAAAAGGCATATTCCTGCATGTGAACTGTGGGTCGTTTGAGATACAGACAAAATTTTAAGTAGCTGTAACATTGTAATAAATTAGAGAGGGAGGAATCTTTAGAAAGAGGACTTTAATTTAAAAGCAATAGGTAGTACTATATAAGGTTTTACTGAGCGCTCAGTGAGCTCTAATTGGCATATTCTGTTCCAAAAGTATAGACCATACAGGTACAAAAGCTCAATGAGCGATTATAGTACCAAATGCATCCATATTCCATAGTGAGGATATATAGATTATGGTGTAAAAATATAAAGAAAAACATTTCCGTGACTTTTGTCAAATTTCTGCAATCTTACTAGTAGATAAGTCGTAAGCGTTCCATAGTTTACATTGCATTAGCAAAAGAACACATAATGATATCGAGATTCAGCGAAGAAATCGAACGACCAAGCGAAACTGGAATATTTTATGGCAAAGATTCAGAGAATGAAGTGGATCACTATAGAAGTAGATACGACATTATTGAAAAACAGCAGTTCACACGTACGGGTATTCATTTATATAAGTTTATACATTAAAACATAATCTATCTTTTTTAGCTGATATCACAGCTGAAGAATTATTCAACATGTTTTTCGGTGTTGGTTTTCCACAACAAGAATTTTATATGCGTCGGTCAGGTGGAAGGTGGACGCGGCAGACAGAAGCGCAAGCGCAACATGCTCATTCTCAGGTAGAGCACAAAGAAATTTACTTTGTTAGCTTAATTTCAAAGTACTTTCTTTTTTTTCATGATGTAACATTTTTCAGCAAGCAAACGGATATACTACATTTCTTCAGATGTTGCCAGTTCTGTTACTAATATTGTTAACTATGATGAGCAGCTTTTTCATATCTGATCCAGTATATAGTCTGCATGCAAGTTCGTAAGTATGCCAACGAATAATTAATGCAAATGTAGATTTTCATAGGCTAAATTTATGTAATGATTTTTTCCTTACTTATAGGAAATATTCTGTGGCCAGAGCAACTCAGGTTTTGAAAGTGCCATATTATGTTAAGGAGAACTTTCATAGTGAATATCAAGGTAGCTTACGTAGGCTAGAAATTTCAATTGAAGAAGATTTTCTGAATAATTTAAGGCAAGCCTGTACCAGAGAGAAGAATTACAGTATGTATATATTTACTTCATTTATCTCCTTCAATATATTTATTATATTTTTCATTAATATTATTATGATGCCAATTAACATAAATTCCTTGTAAATATTCTGAAAATGTTTCAAATTTATTTTCTATAATCTAATTCATTTTCTATAATCTAATAGGGGAGAATATAATGTGGAAAGCCCGTAATTTTGGAGATCAAGATCTGTTCATAAAAGCAAAACATCTCGAAACACCTTCGTGTAAAAAACTACAAGAACTGCAAGCATAGTATATAAAACATGTCAACTAAAACAAAAGTTTTGTGTGTTGTAGATAGATGTATAATATACGAGTATTTACACATATATAATTATCTTTGAGTGTATAATGAAAATTTGTTATAAAATACAATTACGTATAAAATACCTTTATACACTTAGAGTAAATCAGAATATATTTCTATGTCCAACACTACAAACATATTTGGACTACTGTAGTCGTTCATTCCATGCACAAATCTTAAATTGCATAATGAACGATTCCTATGTAAAGTATAAATGAAGTTTTAATCTTTATTTATATATAACTTGAGTAAAAAATTAAATCTTTTTTCGTTTCACATATGATAATTTCTATTTTTTTAAAACAAATATATACATATAAATTTTAGTTAAAATATATATATATATATATAT